TGACGTGCTGTGGTGTGCTGTGTCGGCCACGCGCGCACGCACACGCGCAGCTTGCTGCGGCGTGCTGCGCTGTGTCGTGTTGTGCTGTGTGTCCGCGGCCGTTCGCGGAGCCAGGGTCGCCGTTTTCCTCCCGGGTCCTGCTTGGGAGCGGTGGCGCGGCAGCGGCTCGCGGCTCGGCTCTGCATCGGCAGCGCATCCTTCCAGCGCTGGCTGCGTGCCTTCAGGTCCTTTTTCGTTCCCGCCATCGCTCGGACGTCCATTCCCTGCGTTTTCTTCGGTTTCGTGCGTGGTTTTTTCGCCAAATTTTCAAGGATGCTCCTCGATGGTCCTCAACGAAGGAAAAATGCACACGTCCGAGCGACGCCCTCCCTCTTCTCGTCCTCGCCCTGGCCTCGAGTTGGAGTGCTGCGCCACTCCGTGCAGGCCTTCGTCGACGGCGGTTCCGCGCGCTCTGCGTGCGCGGTCCGATCGGGGGGGCGCTCCGCTCCGCGGCAGGCGCGGCCCAGCTGCCGACCCCGCCTCGCGAGAGGGCAGGCCGGGCCTCTCGGGCTTCCTCGGGAGCCGAGCGGGTCCGCGGTCGACGCGGCCGTCCTGAGCGTCCACGCATCGCTCCCTCCCTCGCGCTCCCCATTTCCCTCCGTTTTGCACGCGCACACACATGCGATGTGTGGAACATCTCCCTTTCTCTCACCCACCCGCGCTTCCACATGCTACGGCACGGGAAGGGAATGAGGAGGAGGAGGAGGAACGACTGATTCAGCGTGTGAGTGAGTCACTCTGGTTGGCGTAGAGAAGGAAGAGAAGGAGTTGAGGAGAAGGAGGTTGCCGGAGCCGTCTAAATAATTACTCGACGCGGAAAACCCCCACATGTGCATCGCATGCTCCTGACACGTTTCGCTGAGGACCTGTGTCTTTGAGCATCTGGGTGTAAAAGCGAGTCCGCGTAGACGACAGGCGCGGCAACGACGGCGACAGCAATACTTCAGTTGACGACAGCAATACTTCAGTGACGTCCTCCTCCTCCTCCTCCTCTGGAGATTATCCAATGGAGCCGAGGAAACACAAGTGGAAGAGCGAGGGGAATTTGTCTCGCAATTCTCCCCGCGGCCACCATGGTGTCTCTACGCCCGCTCTATGGCGGGCTGCTCGCGACGCCGTCTGGCACTCGGAGTGCCCAAGTGCCACGCCGCGGCTGTATCGCGGTAACCATTTGAGTGTGAGCCTCAGTGCGAAAGAATGTGGGCGTGGATGGTCTGAGCGTCAGCGAGTCGGAGTGCGAGCGGATCCGGGCACAATTGAGCCTGAGTGTGATGGTCGGTTTGAGTACGGGTGGGTCTGAGTACGAGTGGGTCTACATGCGGGCGAGTCTGAGTGCTAGTGGGCCTGGGAGTGAGAGAGTCTGAGTGTGGGTGAATCTGGTTTCCAGCGTGATGAGCACAAACCTGAGTATGAGTAGACCTGGGTGCGAGGTAGTCTGAGTATGAGTGAGTCTGAGGCCTGATGAGTATGAGCGCGAGTGAACGCGATAGAAGTTGGTGTGGGTGTGAGTGAGTCTGAGTATGAGGGAGTCCGAGTATGAGCGAGTACGTATGTGCGGGTCTGCCTATGATCGAACATGATGATGAGTGAATCTGAATGTGGTGCGTGAGTCCGAGTGAGGAAGAGGTGCTGGTCAGCAAATCCGAGGGCGACTGAATGCGTCCGAGTGGGGAAAGGGGAAGGAGGTGAGTGAGTGAGTGAGTGAGGGAGGAGCACACAAATCCAAAGAAATGCCTGGGAGGCGCGAAGCAAAACGGCCTGAGACATCCCCCCTCGAATTTGAACGCGAATCCTGCAATGTCCCCACCGCCTAGCGGCTACGCCTTCGGGTGCCCAACTGTCGCGCCTGCTGCATCGCGGTGAACACTGGACCACCACAACAAAAGAGTCTGGGGCGGTTAAAAACAAGCAAACCGCCAGAGACACCGCCACAAAGTGGACGCGAACTGTAAAATGTCCTCCCCCTTGGGGGTGCCCAAGTACCACGCCTGCCATATCGCGGTGAACATTTGCGACCAAAATCCAGGGGACGGAAACAAGCAAAACGCCTGAAACACCCCCACAATCTCGATGCGATCCGTGGAGTGTCCCCATCCCTGGCGCCCCCTTCCTTGGGATGCCGGGGGCCAAACCTGCGACATCGCGGTGAACTTTGGGCCCCCCAGAAACAGGCAAACCGCCCGAGACATCCTCACACGTTGCTTCGAACGCAGGGGGTGCTGGACACGCAGACAGGCAAACCGCCTGGGACATCCCCACCATCTGGGCCCCACAATCTGGGCGCGAACCCTGGGGTGTCCCTGCCCCTGGCGCCCCCTCGATGGGGAGTCCAAGCGCCACGCCTGCTATATCGCGGTGAACTTCCTGGGACTCCCAAGCAGAAAAGGTCTGGGGAGCAGAAGCATGCAAACAGCCTCAGACATTCTCACACATAGCTTTGAAAGCCGAGGGTGGTGGGCACGCGAACAAGGAAACCGCCTGAGACATGCCCACACTCTGGACGCGAATCCTGGAGCGTCCCCACCCCTGGCACCCCCCGTAGGACTAAAAAACAAGCGCCTCGCCTGAGACATCCCCAGAATCTGCTCCGAGAGCAGAGGGTGGTGGGCACGCAAGCAATCAAACCGCTTGAGACATGCCCACAATCTCTGCGCGAATCCTGGAGTCATCACTCCTGGCGCCCCGTCATTGGTATGTCCAAATGCTACGCTTGCTATATCGCGGTGAGCATTGGACCACTGAGGAGTATGACTGAGTCTGATTAAGAATATGAGAGGAGCTTGGGTGTGAATGCGTCTGGATGTGAGTGAGTCAGAATACGAAGGAGACTGAGTGTGATGGGAGTGAATGCGGGTGAGCCTGGCTATGCCTGAATATGGGTGGGTCTCAGTGTGAGTGAGCCACTCAGGAAGAGGAGGAAGGTAAGGAGGTGAGAAGGAGGAGGTTGCCGGAACTGTCTAAAAAATGGCAAGAAATAATCTTAGGATATGGGGAAACAAGTGCCGCCGAAAGATTCGATTCGAATATCCTTCACAATACGAAAACGACTCCCCAGGACCAAGAGACTCCAAGAGGCCCCCAACAGGCCCCCCAGGAATAGGCTCCCAAGAGGCTCCAAGAGGCCCCGAGGGGAACCCACAACGCTCCAAGAGGCCCCCCAAGAGCCAGCAAGAGGCCCTCCAAGACCCAAGAAGCCCCAAGATGCGTCTGAGAGCCTGTCAAGAAACACGCCAAAAGGCTCAACGGGAGGCCTCTGGCCAACACAGCCATCCAGAACCTCAAATGATGCCGCACTCCTCCGCTGGGCATCGTGTCTGGATGGGCTGGTGGGAACCCTGATCATTGGTACCAGAACTTTCTGGTCCCGACAGGCGAGGTCGGACGTGACCGCCGTTGCTTCACATGCTGACATCGGGGGCGACCGATTGGCTTCAAAATCGGTTGCGGCCGATCGGTCGCGACCGATCGCGACCGAAAAAATGAGGTATCCAATGATGTGGAAAGTACTCCAAACCCCTTATTATTCGCCCCCCTGGTCCGGTTTTTTGAGGCGCCTCTTTTGGAGCTGGGAGGGTCCGGTTTGTCAGGGCGCTTTCTCTGGATTGGAGCTTCGGGGGTCCGGTTTATATTAAGGCGCCCCGTCGAAGAGGGGGGTCCGGAATATTAGGTCGCATTTGGAGGGGGGGTCTGGCTTTTTAGGGGGGGATCGATTAATACAGTTGGGGCGTTGACCCAAGGAACCCTAAATACGGAACGAGGTCCCTTTTTCCCATAAGTTGAACTCAGATTTCCCATGGAAAATTTCAGGAAAACCCAAGGGGCACTGTAAAACAACTAAAGAACACGGAGCCCCTCCCAAACGAAAAGGGTTCCTTCTTCAGCGCCCGGACTGTAAGGGATTTGGAATATGAAGGGAAGCCAGTCCATTGCCGCGCCACGAGGCCATCCGCAAAGGGCGAAAGCCAGCTTCGGTGGGCCTCCTCGTCCCTCTTGAGGGAGCGCCCCCCGGGAGCGCCAGAAGCTGGCGGCGCGCACAGGGGGGGTATGGGGGAGGGGGTAGCCTTCTTAGAAGGAGCCTGCCTCTTAGAAGGTGCGGGCCCTACATCAGGGCTGAACCTAAACGGAGTTGTTCGTTTACGTTTTGTTGTCGTTTTCCCTCGTTTTGCCTTCAATCCGCCTTTAGCACAAACCGAAATCGAAACGAAGACGGCCCACGAAATCGCAAAAACACCGTTTACGTCCACCCCTGCCCTACATCTTTAAACAAGGCCCGCACCTGCTAAGAAGCAGGGGATGCTTCGAAGAGGCCTTCCCCCCTCCCCTCTACCCCCCCTCGGCGCGTGGCCAAAGAAGCGCGGCTGGGGCACGAGCAACGCACGGACCGGCCCGTGGCAATTGCTCCTCGAGGGGGGCGGGGAACGAGTCGGGCGAGGGCGCTGGTGGGTCGGAACCGTCAGTGCCCAAGGTCATCAGCTTTTTGCGGCGCGCAGGCGGGGGTATGGGGAGAGGGGAAGGCTTCTTAGAAGCAGGCCGCTTCTTAGAGGGCGGCGGCCCTACATCTACAGAGAAGGCCCTGTCTTCTAAGAAGCAGGGGTATGTCCAAGAAGCCTTCCCCCCTCCCCCATACCCCCCTCTGCGCGTGGCCGACATCAGTTACCGAAAACTTAAATCATATTGTGGACGGGCCTGTCGCGACCGAAATTCGGCCTCGAATCGCGACTTCCGGTAACCAGCGAGCCGTCGACGTCTTCGAAGCCCTCGGTTGGACCCCCACGCGCCGTCTCTTCGTCACCGAAATTCGACCCCCTATGGTCGACCGAAATTTGGCGCGACCGAAGTCCGTTCACGACAATTTCTGGTCGCTGATGATCTAGATCCGCCCCGACGGGAGCATTCCGAGGACGTCTTCCTCGGGCGCCCACGTTACAGCACGAAGGGCGGTACGGTGCCCGAGTTGTTCGTCCGTGCCTCTGTCCTCACAGGGTGGGAGCATGAGCGGTCGCGGAGACGGAGATCGAGGAAGGGCGGATCGATGTTATTTTTTTGTGAGCTGCGTCACTTCTGCTGAAGGTCTTTGGGGTACTGTCTTTGTCTTTACTATTCGCCTCCGCGAAAAAATCTCCCGCTGGGACACCGAGGTCTGTCTTTGTCTTTACTATTCGCCTCTGCGAAAATCTCCCGCTGGGACACCGACCCGACTCTCTGGGCACCTCTGGCCGCATGAGAAGCACGTCGGGGTTGCCAGGGGATCATCTCAGTCTTGGGCAGCCCGTAACAGTGGGAGACCGGGCTGCCCAGCCACAGAGGCCGCTGTAGAAAATTTGATACAGGCAGGACGCTGGGTCTGCGGGTGTGCGGCCATGCAACAAAAAAAACTCTGAGGCCTCTCACCGGGGGCCACATTCGAACCCCACCCTCACCCCCCGCGATATCTGGGGGGGGCGGCAGGGGTAGGCTTCGCATGTGGCCCCCGATCTCATCAGAGAAAGAACACGGCACAAGCATCAACGTGCGGTCGGCGCGGACTTCCCGGGCCGGCGCTCAATCCCCCTTGTGCGGTGCCCCGGGTGCCGCCCCCGGCGCGCTCCGTGCGCCAAAGGGGGAGGTTCGGCGCCGATCCAAGAAGCTCGCGCAGAGCTCCGCGACAGATTCTGCTCATACCGCTGTCCTTCTTCGATCTGAGCCCCTGCGCTCGTCAATCTGGCCCCTGAGCTGCGGAGCAGGGGGCCGATGACCTTCGAGCTGCGAGGGTCTGCCAGCTGCAGTGCCGCGGGCCGAGCGAATTACCCCGTACTCGGGAACGTCGAACAGAGGAGCGCCTCCACCGCATCATCGTGAAGACGGAGGGGGAGACGCGTACTATCAGAGTGAGGGGGCCGAACGGCCATTCGCTGTCCCTGGGTGCGTGGCTGAAGTAGGATTCAGCGGTGCGGAGTGTTGTTGTTGTTGTTGTTGTTGTTGTTGGTGCTGGTGTTGGTGTTGTTGTTGAACATTATTTATTCTAAAGAATAATTATTGTTGGGCCCCCTGGTGCGCGCCCCCCCTGCGCCGCCTAGGCCGCAGCTACATTTTCATCATTTTCGTGAGGAAGCCTCAGAAAAGAGGGTGTGTACAGGATCCGGTTGTTTTGTTGTAATCCGCTTTCCCTTGCAAAAAACAATAGAAAATGACATTTCTTGTTCTAATATAATCAAATTTCAAGAATCCCTTGCAAAAAATAAGGTAAAGTGGACATTCGCGCGCGCAAGACGAAATCCTTCCAAAACCTTAGTGTTCGCAGCGATTTTAACATAAAAACATCAAAAAACCAATGGTTTTTCAACAAAAAATGTCAAAATCTCATCCCGCGCGCTCTTGCGGATTCGTAGGAAACCCAACACTTTTTAAACATTTCTGTCAAACGGGCTTTTGCGAGCAACTTTTTCGAACTTCTGCGACAACGGTTGCGCACCTGCCAGGGCCATCATCCCTGTCAAATAATACCATGCGGGACACATTCGTTTTTTCTTCGCGCGCGCACGCCGTCGTCGTCGGCCGCGGGGCCCTGAATAGTAGCCACGGTCGTCCGCATGCCACGAAGTGAAGTGTCCGAACGTCATAGGGCGGGAAGCTGGGTGTGGGTGGTGGCGAAGAGTCGTTTGGAAATTTGGTAGAGCTTGAACCGGCCCCCCCACAAAGTGGGGGTATTGCCCGCCTCCTATGAAAACCCTGGCACTGGTGAGAACGGAGTGTCCCCACGTGCTAGTAATTGTTGTTGTTGTTGCTGTTGTTGTTGTTGTTGTTGGTGTTGGTGTTGGTGTTGTTGTTGTTGTTGCCGTGGTTGCTGCGGCTGTTGCCGTTGTGGTCGTTGCTGTTGTTGGTGGTGTCATTCAATGCTGTTGTTGTGGCTGTTGCTGCTGCTGTTGTTCTGATTGCTGAATACTCATTTCTAAAAAAAATGTGGTTGATCCCCCGTGCTCGGTAACCTCTGTATTTGTCGATCAAAATGCTTCTGTTGAGGCTCGCACCCAGCTCTTTACAAAGGGAAATGAGGTGTCATCAAACTGTGCCCCTGGCCCGAGGTTTACAACAACAGCGAGAACGGCTCCCGCCTGATACGCCCTCATTCCCAAACCGCACTCTCCCACGGGAATTCCTTACGCTTTCTACTTTCCCGACCCGCCCGTGAGGGTCTACCCGCCCGATCTGCCCGTCTGGTTCTGCCACGTGTTTTCTGCTCCTACCCCCCCTCCTGCTAAGCCCTCTTGTACTCCATCCGCCTCCCTCCTCCTTGTCGGTTTCTTCAATCCGTCAACTCTTCCCCTGCCTTAGGGGCTGCACGAAATACGCGTTGCAGGTAAGGACGACATACCCCTAGGGGGTACGATGAAAGACGAAGAGGGCGGGTATCGCGGGTATTGGATATACGTATCGAATGGCACGCGAGCAGATAAGAGCGAACAGTCTTGAAAGTATTGTTAGTATGTTGTTGATTGTTGATGTTGCTGTTGTTGTGGCTGTTGTTGATGTTGATGTTGTTCCGGTTTTTAGTGTTGCTGATGTGGTTGATGTTGCTGCTGTTGCTGGTGTTGGTGCTGGTGTTGTTGTTGTTGGTGTTGGTTTTGTTGTCGTTGGTGATGGTGCTGTTGCTGTTGGCGGTGATAGTGGTGTTGGTGTTGGTGTTGGTGCTGCTGTTGTGGTGTTGGCTGATGTTGCTACTGATGTTGTTATCGTTTTTGGTATTGCTGTTGTTATTGTTGTTGTGGTATTTGTTGTTGTTGTCGTCGTTCCGCCCGCGGCCCGGCCTGCGACCCACATGCGACTCATCCGCGACCCAACCGCGACCCACCTGCGACCCACCCGCGACCCACCTGCGAATCACCCGCGACCCACCCGCGACCCACCCCGCGCCAGCCCCCCCACTCTTATCCGCAACTGCGGGGTGGTACATAAGGCAACTCCTGGGTGGTCTTCGTGGGAACAACTATATAAGGGCCAAAAGTCTTGATTCGGAGCCTACTAAGCCAGACTAGGACAGATCACGCCGAATGAGAGGCACGATTAGGGCAGAACAAACGCGACTGGACGGAAGTAACGGAATTGATCTGGATTCGGCAGGATCAGGCGATTATTCGACCACTGAGCCATCGGATATATCCAGTGCCGATGCTGAGTCGAACCTCCCAGGAGCTGCAACCCGACTGGGAGCCAGAGGGGAGGATGCCGAGGAGGGGCTTTGAGGATGTGAGTCGGGTGTTCGGCCACGGGGAGCAATGAACGTGGGGATAGGAAACGTGCACCTTTCGTCCAACGTCTGGGCCCGCGGTGGCAATCTGGGGACCAAGTAAGTTTAGGGTCACTGCGGGCCCACTCCTCTGCTATCCTTGGTCCCCCAAGGTCTCTTGCCCCCCGCTGCCGTCCGCCCGAGTTTGGGGATGCGGGGGTGGGGCAGACCACCTTCTTCACTCCTACCCTGGGGCGCCCGCCACTCGCCGGGCAAGTCCGACAGAAGCACTCGTCCTTAGTGTCTTGACGCACGCGCGGCCAATCGCAGCTCTCGCCGCTCCGTCCGGCCACAGCCCTGATCGCAACGGCTGCCATCGGAGAGCGGTACTCGAACAATGAAAAAGAGCATGGTCTAGTGGGTGTGGTGGGACATGGCTTACCGTGATGTGTGCGGGGGACGCCGCCCACGCGCCCCACTACACCTCACAGGAACCGCTGCCACCCGAAGGAACACCAGCTACGGCAGGCCTGATGCAATCAATGATTCTGGCACGTTCTCGAAGCTTCGGGTCCCGATCACTAGCCGTTCGTTCTTGGTCGACGTGCCTCCTGGACCTTGCCGAGCGATGGAGGCAATGCCTGGCCGTCCGAGGGCCAGGAAGAGACTACAAGGCCGCGCGGAGGGCCCTGGCAAGCCGAGGTGCGTCGGACTCTGGCCCGGCGGTTCCGCGGGGGGCGATCACGGAGCCGACTGCGTCGGGAGAGCTGGAAGCTCAGCCGGGGAGGGAGGGCGGGGCGAAAAGGGTACCGATGCTAGAGAAACCGAAAACAGCATAAGCGTACTGTCTCGGAGTTCTGCTCGGCGTTCTTGGATCGGCGCTGGACCCTCCTCCCTGGCGCGCCGCCAGTGGGGCCCAACACCGATCCAAGAAATCCGCGTGAAACGCAGACATGATGTACATGTCTTCTGTATGCGCGGTACTGTGGCTGAGATCACCGCTGGGGTTGTTCAGGGAATAGGGAGGTCAGAGTTGAATGCCACGGTTAGATGTTTCTAGCCTAACCTAGCTTGGAAGTGTGTTTGCAAAAGCCATGAGCGGCTTACCGGGGGGTCAGACAACTTCGAGAAGCGGGCGGAGCCCACTTAGCCCGGGTCGCTACCCCCTCCACCCCATAAGAAGTTTATGGCACCTGTAGCCTCCTTGTGAGCTGATTTAGGCCAGATATGAACATCATAGTCATAGCATCCACTTCAACCTTCCTATCCCTTTAGCGCTCCAAGCGGTGATCTCAGCTGCGTCAGGGAAGCTGGACAACTCAACTGGGGGGAGAGGCAAAAAAGATACCCATACATCTGATCGCCGAACCTCTCCCGGGGCGCATCCTGACCACAATCTCGAGGAGAACCCAGCCATGACCACGAAGACTCTCCAGGACGAGCAGCAGTATCGGTTCTTTTCCTGGAAGAAGGAAAACATAATCAACAACAACAACAACAACAACAACAACAACAACAACAACAACAACACCACCACCACCACCACCACCAACACCAACACCAACACCAACAACAACAACAACAACAACAACAACAACAACAACAAAAACGCCATAAACACGATTATGTCGCGCTCCGCGCGGATTTCTTGGAACTGCGCTGGACCCCCCTTCCCTGGTGCGCGGAGCGCGCCAGGGGCGGCGCCAGAGGGGTCGCCAGGGGGTCCGCGCGGAGCGCCAAAAGTTCATGTTGATACATGCTTTTCTTGTTCGATTTCCCGGATCTGACGAGCTGCTCCACCCCAATGGCGGCTCGACGCGCGAGCAGGCGTGGACGATCACGGGCCGACTGCGCGATCGGTGAGCGCGCAGGCGAGGGCCACCACGGCCGAAGGACAACGCCTCCCGACGCGGTGGGGATGTGCTCGGCTGTCGGCCCCAAGATGGGCGGGGTCGGTCGGCAGGCGAGCACCCGCTTGTCTTAGGTCGGGCATGTCCTCCTACAGGGGGATTCTGGACGAACTATAAGAAATATTCAAACAATACCCCAAACTTGACCAAACTATTAGTAAATCGTTCTCATCTTATTTTTTGGCCCATGTAGAGGGACAGGCCCGACTCAACGCTTGTCTTTTCCAAGAGTCGGACATCCGGGGTGACGAAAGCTGGGCAACAAGCCCGTGCGCTCCCCTCCCGGGCCCCCCCTCCGGGGGGCGAGGGCGAACCAGCTCGTTGCCCCTAATTCGCAACCTCGAGCGTCCGAATCTCAGGAAACGGGCGCGCGCTCCACAACTGCCGACCCTCGTCGAGGAAGCCGAGGCTGCCCACCGGGATGCTGCTCCAGGATGAAGGGGCCCTGGGACACACAAATAAATAGACAACATGATTCCCCATATGTCAAAACATTTTCTGGGTTTTTGTCTTCCCCCCCACTCCCCAGATTTCCTTGGGAATCGACAATGAATTGTGCCTGTGTGTTTTCTGCTCCCTCCCGACAGGAGTTTGGGACACCTCGGGGAGTGCCGGGCTGGCCCCCCCCCCCCCCCCGCCTGTCGGGACGCCCTGCCTGCCTGCCTGCCCCCCCCCCGATCGATTCCCAGCTGTCGGGTAACAAGCGGGTGCCCATTCTGTCAGCAAGATCTTGCTGGCGCTTCTTGACGCTTGGGCGCTTGTCGGACGATCCGCAGAAATCTGCGAGAACCTGATGGCGTCCGGGAGAATGCGGAAGAATCTGGAAGAATCCTGGACAATTCGGAAGAATCTGGGGTGAAATGGCATTTCACCCCCCTGAAACGGGCCCCCGCTTGTAACCCGAATGGGCCCCGAACTTCGGGCAACAAACGGGTGCTCATTTCACCACCTAACATGGGCACCCGCTCGTGCCCCGAAGCTCGGGGAATTTCGGGCTGCCCCGGCTGCCCCCTCTCGAAGTCTCCCGGACTTCGGGCAACAAGCGGGTGCCCATGTCAGGAGGTGGCACGGGCACCCGCCGGTTACCCGAATTGCGGGGAGCCCAGGCTGCCCCAAACAAATTGTTGCAGAATTTCTGGTAGCCAGCTGGTGCCCATGTCAGTGGGTGGAATGGGCCCCGCTTGTTGCCGAAAGTTCGGAACGTCGGGAAACGAGCGGGTGCCCATTGCAACCCCCGGAAAGGGCACCTTTTTGACCAGAAGTCTGATGAATTCCGGGAAGCCCCAGCGCAAGCTGCCCCCCAAATGTCTTCGAACTTCGGGTAACAAGCGGGTGCCCACTTCGGGGCGTGAAACGGGCACACGCGTGTTACCCTAATTTCGGGATGCCCAGGCTGCGGGGTGCCCATCTCGCCCCGAGAACTAGGCACCAGCTCGTTACCACATTTTGGCGACACTCGGGAGACCCAGGCTGCCCACCATGATGCAGGGAATCGAACTCTATACACCGACGCTGTTTCTGGCCCTGCATTGACATTGGCACTGGAGAGCGGATCCTGGTGTATACAAGACCCTGCTGTATACATGTTTCGTGGCTTCCCTGGAACATCGGTGGGAAAAAGTATACACCACGCCACCCCAGCGTCACCCCCGACCCTTAAAAAGTCCTGGGATTGAAAGACAGCCCGCCACTGGTAATGTACGGCAGGTTCGTGTCGTGCCGACCCTGGCGTTGGTTTTTGACACCGCAGGGATCGTTCAACCTTCAACGATCGGCCGCTGCCGCAACGTCCGATCGTTCAACATCGATCGATTCTGGGTCGCCGGCGGCGTTCAACCTTGAACGCCCGCGCTGGGGTCGCCGCTGGTCGACACGACGCAAACCTACCGTACATGTTAATGTTTCCCCGAACTTCGGGTAATACGCGGGTGCCAATCTCAGGGGGTGAGCTGCGCACCCGCTCGTTACCCGAATTCCGGGGAGCCCGAGCGGCCCCGCAGCATTTCACAACGTGTCGGGCCACACGCGGGCGCTCGTTTTCACCGCCTGCCACGGGCACACGCCTGTGAGTGTAGGGTTGCTGCTGATTCCGGGGGGGGCCAGGCTGTCCTCACCGAATCGTGTCCCGAATCGAGGGTGGCAGGCGGGTGCCCAAACTCACCCCCTGAGCTGAGCACCCGCTCTGGTACCCGAACTTCGGTGGGGCCCGGCTTCCCCCTTCCCAAGATCTCCCGAATCCCGGGCAACAAGCGGGTGCCCAGCTCATCCCCTGAAATATGCACCCGCATGTTTTTTTGATCGCGACCGCGGCGAGGAAAAGCCGGGCGGCATCTAGGATATTGCACACGAGCAACGGCTTAAAGTAGCGCAACGGAAGAAGAAGGCAAAAAGCAAAGAACAAGATCAAGCGGGAGACAAACAGGAGGCGAGCCTCACTGGCGCTCAGAGGAGCGCAGGCACGAACCCGCATGTTACACGAAGTTAGGGGAATTTCGGCGAGCCCAGGCTGCCCTCCTCCGAATATCTCCGACGTTCGGGTGACAAGCGGGTGCTCATTCAAGAAGGGGAAAGGGGCATCCGCTTGTTACCCGAATTTCGGGAAGCCCAGGCTGCCCCCCGAAGTCTCCTGAATTTCTGGTAACAGGCGACTGTTTTTCACCCCCCTTGACATGGGCACCCGTCTGTTACCCGACAGCCCGAATTTCGGGTAACAAGCGGGTGCCCATCTCATCACCTGATAGTGGCACCCGCTTGCTGCCATATTTTTGGGGGATTTGGAATTTCGGCGGGCCCAGGCTGGTCCCAGGGTTGCCGCTTCCCTAAAACAAAAGAAATAAGGTAACGAGCGGGTGCCCATATCGTGGGGTCTCGGGAAGCCCAGGCTGCCCCCCGAATTTCGCAGAAAACTTCGGTGAACCAGCGGGCCCCGTGTATCTCCCCCCCTGAGATGGGCACCCGACTTTTGTACCCGAAACCTTGAACTTCATGAGATTTCAATGGGCCCAGGCTGCCCCCCCGCATTCCGGGTGATTCCAGGCAGGGCCCGGCTCACCCCGCCCGACTCTGTGCAGGATGTTGGGCACCAGCGGGTGCCCACGGGCTGATATGAGCAGCCGCTTCTTGCCCGAATTTCGGGGGGCCCAGGCTGCCCCCCCCCCCTGAGATTCCACGACTTTCGGGCACCAGGCGGGTGCCCATGTCCGGGAGGGCTCTGGGCACCCACCCGGTGGCCGCAAATCTGGGAGCCCGGGCTGCCCCTCCGAACATACCAGAATTTCGGGGGGTAACGAGCGGGTGAAGGTTTCAGAGGGGTGGAATGCGCGTGCGCCTGTTGCACGACTTCCGGCGAGCCCCCCGAAGGTCCCCGAGCTTCGGGTAGCCAGCGGGTGCCCCTGTCACCCCCCTGAGATGGGCGCCCGCTGGCTACACGAATCTCGGGAGACAAAACACATCGGGGAACCCAGGCTGCCCCCCACCAAATTTTGCAACGTTTCGGGTGACAAGCGGTTGCCCACTTCAGGGGGTGAAATCAACACCCGCTCGTTACCAAACTGTTGGGGAGCCCAGGCTGTCCCCCCCGAATGTGTGCAGAACGTCGGGCAACGAGCGGTTGCCCATGTCGCTCCCCTGACATCATGGGGCCCGCTTGGTACCCGAAGTTCTTGGATTTTCGGGGAGCCCAGACCGCCCCCCTGAATTTCTTGCAATTGCTGGCACAAGCGGGTGCTCATTTCAGGTGGCGACAGGAGCACCCGCTTGTCACCCGAATTTCGGGGAGCCTTGGCTGGTTCCCCTAATTTTTCCGAATTTCGGGCAACAAGCGGGTGCCCGCTTCACCCCCTGAAATGAGCACCCGCTTGCTGCAGGAATTGCGGGAAAGGTCACCGAGACCAGGCTGCCCCTCAGAATGTCCAAGAATTTCGGGTAACAGTCGGGTGCTCATGTCAGAAAGGCGAGATGGGGGCAACAAGCGGTGCCGGAAAAACAGCGGGGGCGCCCAAAGAGGGGGGGGCACCAGCTCGTCTCCCGACTTTTTTTCCGCAGCCGACATTTTGGAAGTGTTGGGTAACAAGCGGGCGCCTTGGATAACGGCAAAGCTTGGGCGGGGTGGGGCACGTCGGGGCGGGGGTGCGCTGCGATCGCCACAGGATGCGCGCGATCGCCATGGTATGCGCGCGATCGCCACGGGATGCGCGCGATCGCCACAATGTGTAACCCCCCCCCCTGCGCAGGACCGTTGCCGTCACCCCCCGGGGAGGAGGGGGGGCGCCAGTGACGACGGTTTTTGGCGCCAAAGGCCAGCCAAAACAACCTCGAGGCTCTGCGCCGCGAAGCCTCCCCTGCGCAGGACCGTTGCCGTCACCCCCGGGGAAGGGGGGGGGGGCGCCAGTGACGACGGCTTTTGGCGCCAAAGGCCAGCCAAAACAACCTCGAGGCCCTGCGCCGCGAAGCCCCGCCTCCGACCCCAGGCGTGCGCCGTCGTGATTCGTCCACGTCGTGGCCCCCCCGGAACTCTGGACGTCTTCCCCCGCACGGGCCTGTTCCACCCCGGCGATCCCGGAGCCCAGCGGGCGGCTCCCGGAAGGCGGCCGCGGCCCAAAACGATCCGCCGGGCCTGCGCTCTGCGGCGCGCCGCGCGGTGCCCGCGGCAGACGGCCCCCGCGCGGCCACGACCGTCGCGAGCGCGCGGCGGGCGGACGCTGAGCGCGGGTCACTGCCGCTCGCTCGGCGGGTCCAGGAGCCCCTCGCGGGGAGGGCGCTCGCGGCGCGCGCGCGCACCGACCCCTGGCAGGGCCCGGCCCGCGGCCCCCCCTGGCGAGAGCACCGCTGGGAGTGCTGAGGGGGGGCGGCGGGGGGCCGCGCGCACTTCCAGTAGGGGGGGGGGCACGGGGGGAGGGGGGAAGGCTTCTCGGAGGGAGGCTGCTTCTCAGAAGGGGTCGGCCATTGCATCCAGAGAGAGGGCCCGCACCCTCTGAGAAGCAGGGGTGCTTCCAAGAGGCCTGCCCCCCTCCCGCTCCCCCCCCCCCTCCCTCTGCGCGTGGCCGAGATAGGGCGGTTCGAAGTGGATGCGCTGGCCTGGTTTAGGGGTGGGTTACAGGTGCCACAAGCAGCTTCGGGGGGTCAGTGAACCCCGCTAAGTGGGCGGAGCCCGCTCAGCCCAGATCGTTGGCCCCTAAGCCGCTTATGGCTTATGGCACCTGTAACCCACTCGTGAGCTAGGTTAGGCCAGATGCAACCCACCTTAGCATCCACTTCTAACCTCTGTCCCCTTAGCACCCCTAGCGGTGATCTCAGCAAGGGCCGCCCAAGACGGCCCAAGGGCGCCCGAAACGCATTCCCAAAAACTCCCCGACATGCGAGCATGCAGCTCACAATTACGTGTTCCCTCGATCTTCCGAGTGTCCCAGGCAGTTCCAGACGAACCGCAGCACCAGTCCCGGACGGCTCAAAAGGCCCCACGGGAGCCGCAGGACGGGCCCGAGACGGCCGAAGCTGGCCTCAAGCGGCCCCTAGCGATGACCCCACCCCTTGGCCTTCAAGGCGGCCAAGCTGCCCCCGACGCCACGAAGCAATACTACATCGTTAAAAACCCAACAGGAACCCTTGACCCCGTCTGTCTGCAGAAAATTTGGAGCCGGATCGATCCGCGGATCTCAGCATTAACGCGCCCTCCTGGCTGGGTCAGGACGGCATCCGCACCGACCCCCTGAGCCTGTGGACCTGTCCAGCATCGGTGTTATTCACGGGACCCAGGGACACACAAATAGATACACACAAATCCCAGGATGCCCCATATGTTCCGATATCTTTTGGATCCTCGTCTCCCCCCCCCACTTCCCATATTTTCCCATATCTACCTGGGGATCGACGACTCACGGTGTCTGTGCGCTCACGTTCCCCTCCTGAGCTGTGTATCCAACTGGGCGACGACAAGCAACGGCTCGCACGCGAGACGACACGGCAGCCCGACGCGGTGCCTTGCGCGGGCCGCCACCGCGGCACGCTGTGCCCTGGAAGCGAGGGCGCTCCCCAGCCCGACGCCTTGCTTTTTGCTCGTGGCGCCGACCCCCAAAAGGTCTCGACCCGTCCCACGGGGGCCCGTTGCTCCTCCGCCGAGCCCTTCTCCGACTGGCTACATACCAGTAGGAAGGCACCAAGTATACACCAACACCGATCCTGGCCATGATCACTCTGAGCCCAGGATCGGTGTATACGCCGTCCTGCCTTGGGCAGAATGTAAATACACCGATCCTGGGCCCAGGATCGGTGTTGGCGTATAGCTGGTGCCCTCCGAACGAGGCCACCCCGACCCAACCTGAAGACCCGAATGTCGGGTTGGAGCGGGGGGGGGGATACAGGCTCCATACGTGTTTTTTACCTAACAGCGAAGCCTGATAGGTTTTGTAATGGGGTCAAAAGAGAGCACCCGATGACTCCCCAGGGGGGTCTGGGCGGGAGCCGGACAAGTGAGGGCCGGGCTCCTTTTAAGCAAACAATCGCACACTTCGTGCTCTTCGACGTCCCAGAACTCCATTCCCGGGCCACATTTTGGATGCCCGGAACCAACTGTAAGCCACTTCGTGCTCTTCGACTTCCCAGAACTCCATTCCCGGGCCACATTTTGGATGCCCGGAGCCAACTGTAGGCCACTTCGTGCTCTTCGACTTCCCAGAACTCCATTCCCGGGCTACATTTTGGATGCCCGGAGCCAACTGTAAGCCACTTCGTGCTCTTGGATTCCCCAGAACAATATTCCCGGGCCACATTTTGAATGCCCGGAGCCAACTGTAGGCCACTTCGTGCTCTTCTATTTCCCAAAACTCCACTCCCGGGCCACATTTTGAATGCCCGGAGCCAATTGTACGCCACTTCGTGCTCTTCCACTTCCCAAACTTCCAAAACTCATCATCTTCATCATCATCATCGTCCCCGTAGCCTTCTTGGCTACAGCCCTGCTTTCGAAGATTTCCTTTCAAAGGAACTGCGCAGCGCCTACTGCACACCTTAATGCCAGGACATGCTGATAGTTCTCGGTCTGGCGGCGTTGCTCCTGACCCTGCTGCATTGAACAGCGGTGCTCCTCAGCCTGCGACAGGGAACAGCGTTGCTCCTCAGCGTGCTGCATTGAGCGGTCCTCTGCAAACGCTCGTCGAGCACGCGAAGCAATTCGGCCGGATACCGAAGCGAAATAAAGGAACGTCCGAACAAGAAGGGGCCGAAAACAAGTTGGCCAAACGTTTCTCGGACCATCGCGACCGCATCCCCAAAGACATTTTGCATGAACTGCGGGCCCTGGGCTGCGCTGATCAGCAGACGGAGACCGAGGAGCTCAAGCGGAAGCAGAAAACCGAGGAGCTCATGCAGCAAAAGCGAGACAAGACCGAGGAGCTCATGCAGCGAGTGCGAGACCTCGGCCGCCACCCGAAGGAGCACGCCGGGCGCAGCCTCGCAGAGCGGCAGCTGGCAGAGAAAGTCCGGAAAGCACGGAAGGCCAACCAGTTCTCCCCGGAGCAGGGCGCCGAGCTCCAGGCCTTCAAGCAAGCGGAGAGCGAAGCCGCAACAAAGACTCGCATCGCGGAGGCGGAGGGCCTTCCAAACCCCATGGAAGGGTTCGCTGAGGAGGCGCAGAACAGGATCGACCAGGACCTGCTGATGCTCGAGAGCGGCATCCGGACCAAGGCAATCCTGCGGCGCCTTGCCGCCTACAAGGAGATTGTGTCCAGCCTCTCTGCGCAACGCACGGAATTCGCGCAGCGATGCGCGGAGCGGGTGCGCAAGGCGTCGGCCGCCCCCGCGGGGAAGAGCTGCTACGTTCCCGGCGGCGAGGTGGAGGGGGGCCAGCTGCGCGTCTTCTCCGACCGCCCCGTCATGACGGGGCCGCTCGTGTGCCAGCTCTGCGACTGCGACTTTCTTACAGAGGAAGACTTTGCGCGGCGCAAGCAGCAGGGCCACGCGGGCGACGCGGAATACCGCAAACGGGTGCTGTTCCTGATGGCGGAGGCTGGCTGCAGGCCGATAGCCGCCCAGGAAAAGAGGCTCATGGTGCAGAATTTTGCTCACTTCCAGCAGTTCTGTCACCCGGGCAGCGAGGGCAACCGCTTCTCGGGCAACGAGGCAGCACACCGATGCGAGGCAGCCTGCGTAGTCTGCGCGCAGAAAGATTACCTCGAGCACCGCCACAAACTGAGCCTGTTTGGCGCAGTGCTGGAGGACCGTGTATCCGAGCACTGCGCGGGCCTTGCAAGCGACCAGGACGACGTGTCCGAGGGCGAGGCGAATGCGCGACCCGCGCGGACCCTGGTGAAGCACCGCGGGGTCTACTACTTGCAGTCCCAGGAGCTCGTGCAGAAGCTCCTGGACGTGGACAGGTACAGGCAGCGGTGGCCTTTGATCCCGTACGAACAGCTGCATGCGTCCAGCGTTCAGCATCCGGAGCACCCAGAGCGGCGGTGGCTGCTGCACTCCCGTAGTCCCTGTGGTAGCACCGCTGGAAGCAACGGCGAGCACATGCGGTGCTTCTCAGCCTGCTGCCGACAGGCCCGGCGGAGCTTCTCAGCCTGCAGACGAGAGGCCTCCGTGCGCAGGGGTGGGAGATGCCAACGCGTTGGTGTGGGTTTGTTAAGTGCCTCACTGACATGTGCGCCAAGAAACCGAAGACGCCGTTAGACGCCCTGGTCAACGACAACTGGATCGGCCGGGAGCTCATGCACGTCCGCGGCGCTTCGAAGGCTACAAAGATGCTGGCGCCCCTTGGCCGATGCTGTTGGAGGCAAGTCCGTCTCGGCAAGGGCGCCCCGGATGTCCAGCAGAAAGGCATCTCGGGCAACGCCGTCCTCTTCGCCCAGTCCACGGCGCAAATCCCGTCCATGGAGCTGCGCCCGGCGCCAAGCGCGCTCGTGGACTCTCTGAACGTCGTCTTCTCGGGCGCCGCGCACAATCTCAGCCAGGCGCGCTGGGCAACAGTCAAGCGCGCCGAGTACACGCGCATCGTGAGGGAGCGCAAGCAGCAGTGCGCAACCTTTTCCGAGGTGTCCGTCCGGGAGGACGTCGCCCCGACACGGCTGCCGGAGGACGGCGTGCCAGACCACATCCGGGTCTGTCTGCAACCAGTGCCCTGAGCATCCGGCACCCACAGAAAAGAAAGGATAAGTTATGTTTAAGTGCTGCACCTTAACTTAAAATGAACTTACCTTAGAACGTACTTAAGTTACTTAGTTCGTACCTCAACTTAGACTTAGAACAAACTTAGAATTGCACTTAAAACGCACTTAGTTTGCACTTAGTTTGCACTTATTTTTTGGCCTGGTGTTGGGATGTTGTTTCGCAGTTAACGTATGCGGGCACAGCCGCGAAGTTTGAGCTACGTCATGCCACGTCTGCTAATCAGCGTTATCTTTCCGATGTTTTTCGGCCCCTCGGTTTCTGGATTTCTGGTTGAAGGGCTTCGTTGGCCCATGGGCCCCTAGGATCCTGATGGGTCCCAGGGGCGCGCGCCTGGACTCCTTGGGTCTTGGATGCCTGGGTCCCTGTGCCCTGGTGGGAGAGCGAGGAGGAGGAGGAGGAGGAGGAGGAGGAGCCATTGCCGTTTTGGCTCAAGCCATTCAGAGGGCTTCTCCATCTGACGAGAAAGGATCCACTTTTTGTGGACGCGGCTTCTGATGAAGCGCCCAGCTGCGGCCAAGGCGATGCCCGCGGCGAAGCTCCGCAGGCCAGCGGCTCGGCACGAGCAGGACAAACACGAGG